ACAACTACCTAAAAGGAGGTTCTAGTGCGGCTGGTGTTGGCCTCTTCCCCCAAAGTACTGATGATAGGACGAGAGGAAATGGCCTCAAGTTGCACCAGGGGAGGTTTTGATTGGATATTAGGAAGAATTTCTTCACTGAGAGAGTGGTTAGGCCCTTCAACAGGCTGCCCAGGGAGATGGTGGAGTCATCATCCCTGGAGGTGTTCAGAAAACAAGCAGATGGAGCACTTGAGGCTACGGTTAGGGAGATGTTGGGATGAAGGCTGGACTTGATCCTAGAGGTCCTTTCCAACTATAGTGATTCTAAGAAAAAGCAGAAATACCCAAGTACAGAAAAATGAAACATTCTGGGGGTTTTAAGAGACTCTGTGAAATCAGTGGAAGCTCCGATACTGAGACGGGACATGCATGCTATTAAATATTGCACAGCACTAAACTGCTGTTTCACTTACCTAAAATAATAAGTTTAGCAAGCTGAGCATGCTCACACAGGAGTCTTAAAACTAAACTAAGAACATGTACAGAGACCAAACTTCCTTCATCCACAATCAGAACTGTCACATTAGAAAACTTCCAAGCCTGTGCTTGTTCAGTCTGCCTCCATGACCTAAAACTGTAGATGATCTGGAAAGAAAGAAAAATAAATCAAGCTCTGATGCTAATTAACTTTAAACAACTGTCTTATAAAGGTAGCCAGAGTATGGTATCTTCCAATGTTGTATTTAGAGTCACTATCTGAATTTCTGAACTTAAAACCTGTAAAGACTCAGAAGACTCAACTGTTCAGTCTTATTCTCCTCCTTGGTGAATACATTTCTAGCTGAGACTATCAACACTCACCTACATAAAAGCACAGAAATGCATCCTTCTTTTTTTGCAGAGACCCTAAAGGATATAAGGTCAGACATTGGGTTGCCCAGTAACAGAACTCCTCCTACTACAACTCGCTGACATTAGTAAATGCCCAATATTGAATTGGGAACGGGCAAGTATCCAGTTCCCAAAGATAAAATAAGCCCATAGTACTTTTCTTGTCATTATAAAGTCTTCTTGGCACCTTTCACTACCTAGACTTGACCTAAGTTTATTAACAAAGAGTTTGCTTTCTACTTTTTTCTAAAACAATCTGCAAAATACTTAACAGCAATTAAGAAAAACACTCTGTGAATGAAATGTATCTCATTATTCAACCCCAGGTTACTGATCTCTTCATGTATGTGCAGTTTTGTATATCAGTACGATTGCTAGGCAATCAAATACTAGAAAACAGCTCTGCTATCTAGAATGTGTTTCTGTCTTAATTTAAAAAAAAAAATTAAAAAAAATGAGAAGCTAAAAAGACTAGATGCCCTAGAAAGGCACAAATTTGAGATGTGTGTAAGGAGCAAAACAGCCCAAAGTTACAGCAAATAAAGTATTTCAAATTATTGATTTACGATTCCCCAAAACTACCACGTTCAAATGCTGACAAGCTGTACCTAAGCATTGTCATTAATAGCTACACATTTCATGAGGAAAGTTCAATAACAAGCTTTCTTTTATTTCAAAACAAGAATGGATGGTGCCAAAATGCCTTTCAGAACACAATTTAAAAAAAAAATAAAATCCTTACCTGATGCAGTGTATATGCAGGCAGATTTGTTTTTTCATGCAAAAGACTCGCCGCCCTCCCTGTAGGAGCTGTAAATAATACGTTCAGATTTTTTTGTGTGTATATATTCTCTGACTCCAAATGATGATCAAAAGTATTCCATTCCTCAGATGCCTCTAGGTCTTCTTCAAAGTCCTTAGAAGCAGCTTCCACTTCTTTTTCTACCTGCTTTAGGTGACGAAAAAGGCAGCTAACTGTTGTGCTCTTCCCACAGCCTCCTTTTCCACTTATGATTGTGACAGGATTAGAACAAATCTTTTCCATAGCAGTCACCTGATCTAAGTCCACTTCTGCTTTACTTTGGGTACCAGACACAGACCCCACTTCCATTTCGGGAAAGTGATTTTCACCATTATGATTGTCCAGACTATCTTCCTTCAGATGTTCCATTTCATGAGCCTGGCTAACATCCATTTTTTTATCTACCATTTCTTTTGATGCCTCAGAAGTGTTAAGTAACTTTCTCACATCAACGTCCAGTTTCCATGAGCATTTTGACATAAGGTCACCTATGCACATTGCAATGTCTTTTTCAGATTTGTAAAGATGAGGCAGAAACACTAGTTTTTTCTCCCTAATCACAATGTTCTGATCTTTCATAAATTCAAGAGATTGCCAAACATGCTCAATGGACATATCCTTAGATACAAAATGAGCTAATTCATCTTGATCTTCGTAAGTATGTCCCATTTCTCTACACCGTTTCTTGAGTTGATCATACAGAATTAATGCATTCTTCTGCAAGTCAGGAATCTTCCATAGGAGATGTTCACACTGACAGAAGGCTGCCCACGTTGCCTCACAGTAAGAAAGGTTCAGTTCCTTATAGGTAATCTTCTCCCCAGAAAGAATAAGAGCAAACATATTTATTTCAGAAGACGGTAATCGCTTGCTGAATAACATTTCTCTTCGTAAGTACAAATTGCAATTCAGAGGGTGGAATACAAAAATTTATCTATTTTTTAATAATGTACGCCACTATAAAGCTTTTCAAGCTATGTGAAAGCAAGGTATTTTAAAATTAAGATGAAATGATAACTCAGTCACCCTTCTGCATAAAACAGAAACTTTAAAAATAAAAAACCTGGTGCAGAAATTGGATATTAAAGAGAACTTGTACACACCTAATTAGTACAATTTCAAGGCACAAAAAGTGTACAAACAGAGCATAGGAAAGTCATTAGCCAGGATACTGTACCCAGTTCTGAACATGCTGTTTGAAGAAATACACAGCCTTTAGAAACTACTGCAAAATAGTGAAGGACTGCAATGTACAGAAAAGATGAACTATTGAGGAAAAGAAAAATGAATTGGACTTGCTGAGCCTTAAGAGAAAAAGCTGAAGGGAGTCTTCAAGCAATTAAAAATCTGCAGGGAGAATACAGGTCCTTGGTACAAGAAATAAGAGAGCAACAAGTCTCTGTTTCATCAAGGAAGGGTCAAACTGGACATCAGGAAAAGCTTTTTAAAGGAAAGGACATGAAACACTATATATTGACTAGTCTGCTGAATCTCTGAAATCGGAGGTCTTAAAGACAAGTCAGAACATATGTCAGGAAAAGCCTTGGGGGGCTGAAGAAGAGGGGTTAACTAAGCACACTTGTGAACTTTGAAGCCATAGCTCCCCGCTAAGGTACAGGAGTGCCAAGGTGAGGTGCAGCAGCCAAGTGGCACAGCAGTACACCCTCTGTTTCTACATGAACTAAGCTTACCTGCTACAAATGCCCAGTTAAACTGGACGTAACTACAACGGCACTTTACTCTAATGAAGCTCAAATACAGCAAACATTTTTCACCCTGCTTCACACTACTTACCCTGCTGAAGCCGAGTTTCCATGGCTCATTCTTTAATATCTCATCCAATTTTGTTAGCATGTTGTCTTGAAAATGCACTTCCTCATCATCTGTACCACTGTTGTCTTCAGTCTTTGCCTGCCAACACACTGTGTCCAACAGGGAGCAAAAGTGTCGTGGCAGGAGAATTGGCAAGAACTCCAGTATCATTGGAAAAGTCAGAGCTACCAACACCGCCCTTCCTGCAACTGTATGCGCCATGAACAACACAGTTTTAAGCAACACACACAAGATATTTGTAAAGGCAATTTAAACTGACTCTGGCTGTTATTCTTCTGCCTCCCCTACATTCAAAACATCCCAATTTCCTTTCAGTTTCTTTTTCTTTGTAATCTTTTTCAAATTCTTTTAAAGTCTATTTTCCCTGAACTGCCTTGGAACAAAATAATGTAAACAAATGACATAAAAACTGCAGCTCAATGTAGTAATTTGGAAAATACACATTATACATCTGGTTTAAACTGCATACTCAACAGCATTTTGTAGAAGGTCAGTTCAGACCTCACCACATCTGCCTCTTACCAAGATAACTTTCATACACATGTATGTAACAAAGTTTAAAATACAAAATAAGAAAAGGAGCTTGTAAATTTGTAGTATTGATCAGTAGAGGAACTTAGGAAAACAGTGCTCTCCACTGGCTTTCTCAATGACCTCGAACTTAGGCTATTGCTAATTTTTATTGCTAATTGCTAATATTGCTTTCCCACTTTGTATCTGTCTTGGGATCTGCAAAAGGGGAATAGTGAAAGCGATTGGCTCTACTCCTTGCTTTAAAAAACAAATTTCAGAAGAAAGTCAGACTTTCAGGAAGCTTTATTTCTTGACAAAGAAAAAAAAGAAAGTAATTTTTAGGTAAGTGCCAAGGAAACTTCACAATTCCAAATTGAAACCCATTTTTTTCCAGTTAAGTACTTTTTCTGATCATTGTCTTACCTATAGAAAGGCAAAGATAAAGCCTTTTCCTTTTCAAGCCAGTACTTAAATTACACATAGAAATTCAACACGATTTCTACACAAAAAATACCACAATGGCTTGAAGAACAAACTGCCCATGCCCATAACAATTAATGGACACAAATTAAAAAAAAAAAAAAAAAAAAAAACACCAGCAAAAGCGGCAATGTGACATACACAAGGGTGAGTTGTTGTTTCTATTGCCCAATAATAAAAAGAAAGCTTAACCTGTAACTAATTTAAGTCAGGTATTAGGAACAACCTGCCAACTACAGAATAGTGAACAGGATATCCAGGAACACTGTGGACCCTTCACCCCATCCCTTCAAGATTCATTAACTAGACAAGCCTCAACCAAAAGTGATTCATATATCCCACCAGAACTCTCTCAGCAAACTAGATCTGAGTTTCCACCACTATCAATTCCCATCCCTTTGTGATCATGAAAAGATAAAAAATCCATAAACAGTGGTTGAGAACTTTCCTACTTTTCTTTCTGGTTTTGTAATGGTAAAAAAAGTTCACAGAGCTGTGAAAATTTTCCTCTGCTTACACATGTAATTAGGAGTAAAGTCAGCTCCAAGTCTAGCAGCAGCTCTGAACTCTCCTCTTAGACATCTGAAATAATCACCTCTAATCTTTTGACCTCACACTGGGCAGTAAACCGGGTTTCTGGAAGCCTGTTCACTTACACCTAACAGCTGATTGATAGACACAACTTGCCTATACAGATTTATGCACAGCTCCTCCAATGCAGAGTACTGAGTCACACTGACTATGCCCAAGTGGCTCTGCAGAGCACCAACCCAAGACTGCCTGTGTCCACATCAAGAACATGGTATAATGTGAACAGATCATTGGAGCAGAACAAGAGATCTAGTCCTGAAGACACGTCTCAGATGTCTTGACCCTCTGTATTTCAGTGTTTTGCCTTGGACCAGCTATACTCTGCTCCCACAGACTAAATGCCCACCAGGGGTTGGAGTACCTTAGGTGTGTAACTGGAGCACATCTTTAGGCTTTCATCCAGCAGAGAGACAATACTCTCAGAGACTGCAACACAGCAGGGACAAGAGGGATGTTGGTTCAAAAGCACGTTCCTAATCCAATCTCTAACACTCGTGCAATCACACCAACATGGTCCAGACCAGGATCTGCAGCAGCCCTGAACTACTTCCAGGTGGGGACACTGCTGTGATTCCACACTCTGCTTCCTAGCCATACCAATCTGATGACGGGCAAGATTCAAATACAATTAGGTGTTTTTTGAATGCAGTTGATCTGGACTATGCTGAGTTCATCCACTGTTCCCCTACACTACAAAAAAGCAGTTCTACTATTTCTGAATATGTATTTGTCCTAAAAAGCCATACCACCACATTTAAGCAGTGCTGAACCTACTTTTTAATAACTCTTGTTATATCTGAACATACCAGCATCAGTGTCTTTGCAGCCCTAGCACAGACAACTCTACCTAGTAAGTCTACAAAATCCAGGAAAGTCCTTATCTATTTCTAACTGGATGCTCATCAATAACTGGTCAAAGCTTTTTTTAAAGAAAGGATAAACTTTTCATGTTCAAAATTCACTTGAATATACTCTGCATATGAAGACATTAGCTTGAACACAGTTATCTGAGATAGAACTCATCAGCTTACAGCAGAATCAAAATAGCACAGGATATACCTACATGATTTCAAAACATAGTAGAAGATGTCATAATCCTTGGTGTCTCTTTTTTGCTCTTTTGTCTTTAGGTGTGAAACTTGGAACCGTTTTAGATTTTCTTCAAGACTTCTAAAACTCAGCATAGAATTCTCAGGAAGCCAAGTAAAGAACTTTTGTTTAAAAACCTCAGGAACATGACATTCCTTAAGAAAGAGTGAAAAGACTTGTCGGTTGTTTTCTTCTGGATCAGTCCGTAGAAAATATGATGGATATCCTTGCATGAAGTATTTTGACCCCACTTTTTTAGCTTTAACATTAACTCTCCACCAAGGGTCCACTAATGGAAAACGTCCAACTACTTCATACTCCTTTTTGGAGTTCTCTTCTTGTATAACAACTGAATAATTAAAAAGAAAAAGAAAACCATTGTTAATTGATAGTCATAAAGATTAAAAGTTTGATTTGATTAAAAGAGTTTTGTTCACTGAAAACTTCTTTTTGTCTTTTGTCTAAGTTGCAGTAGTAAAAGTGGTTTTCACAAACTTCCTGATGCCAGCCTTTTCAGTACTATTTTAAAAAAATCAAAACCAGACTCAGAAACAAGCACTAAAACTGCTTCTCTAAGTGTCATAACTTCCAAATTAAATTTGCATATGAATAGTTATTAAGACAATATATTGGCATACAGTTTAATATTACACCATTTATAACCAAATCAAGTTTACAATTCAATTTTAAACAATTCTGCCATGAAGTATTGCTTCACAGTGCCTACATTCTCTCCAGATGCAGGTGTACACCAAACACTGCCCACAACTGAAACCACCAAAACTGTAAGCAACGGACACAACAAACTCTTAAAATTTTGAATTACCT